ATTTTGACATCTCACATGTTTGACAGATATGGTCGCCAAACCATATCCTAATGAGGACACAGATGGATATGGATTTGGTCTACTAATTTCGCCGGCGGTTGGCGACAAAACTGCGACATCTCGCAACCAAATTGTTTGCTGGGTATATATGATCATATATTTCTATTTTTTCTTGGGCTGTAATCTTTGGTATGTGTATTCGCTTTTGCAGAGGGATACCTTTATATATAGCGTTGTATTTCTGGTAACCTTGATANATCTCATGATGAGCTGTTTATTACCAGCTGATGACGTATTGGTTTTCAGGTACAGGTTCTTTTCTTCTGAATCTTTATTTTCCAGCTGCTTCTCACTTTGAGCCTGTGGTATTGAGTTCATTTGTAATTCTGTAGTCACCTGTTGTTTCATAATTTAGTTCAACATCTGAGTATGATANTACATATTTTCTTTGAATAGACTTTAACTGACTGCAGACTCGCTGATTATCCAGTATGATGGCGGGATACATTTTCTTCTATTCGGCATGCATTCTTATATTTTTTGCTTTGTGTATTTACTCTTGTACTAATGCGATACGCAAGCATTACAGAGATATTCATCTCTTTGGTTCATTTTATGACCATTTAGACTTAGACTTAAAATGATAGAAAATCCTAAAANAGGTGTGATTCTCAAGTTACTTCGTATTAAGACAAACAGTGCTGCTGCTTGTACGATAGTCATAAGTGCGACGCCACGCCTAGCCTGCTAGTCTGTATTAAGTTAGATTAGGTTAGGTTAGGATTAGGTGTGCCATCATCTACTGACACAAGTAGCATATTTGACAGTTATCCCGGTGTCAAAACTTTCTGCGCGGTTTTGCAAGGACAGCTTACAACTTTATTTCTCGTCTACTTTCCTAATAGGAAAACATTTATAAAATTATGTGACAAAATTTTACATTAAAACCCACACAGAACAAAAACTCCATTAGACATCTATTAGACGTCAACAGCTCTATGCGACATCTAATAGATGTCTAATAGATGTCTGGATGGATGGATGTCTGTGTGGGAATTGTAATTTGCAATTATATAAATATATTTTAAGAAATAGATATAAAAACATTGATCTTTTATAAAATATTNGTAACTGTTTGCAAAATTAATTTCTAAATACTATTTCGGCAAAAGAATAACAATATGGCAAATCATCTTAGCAGTATATTTGCAAAATTACTTTCGAAAAGCAATTGTCCAATAAGTGAGAAAAAACTTTTAGCTACCCAAGTAGCATAAAAACGTTCTCAGAATGTTCGGCGAATGTTAGAACAGTAACAGTGAAAAAGTTTTTGTTATGTTAGAAGTTCGCTCAGGACTAACATTCTCCTAACATTCAGCAAACGTTCTCAGAACGTTTTACTGAAACGTTTCCGTAACATTCGGCGAACGTTACACAGAGAGAATAAAAAAATTTTTCGCAGGTTGCATTTTTACACAGCTTCGAGATTTCACTTGAATTAATTTTTGGAGACCCGATTCAGCTCGCCAATCATCCAATGAACTCTATTGAAAGAAACTGGATCTGAAAAAAATCTTAAGATGATGGCAGGATTTGAACTCGAGACCTCTATATTCACAGCCCCTGCACTCAGTCCGCGAAACCACTTATTCCTTACTAGAATGTGATTATTTTTATCTACTTATTCTCAAGCTATCTTGTACACATTTTATTTATTATTATTTCTTTAAATTATTATTTTATTAAAAATATTGCAGTGTAATGTACCCTTGCAACAGTGGATAAAA